ATTTAAAAAGTCATTCTTAATTTTTTTTTTTTTATATATAACGAATGACAAAATAATTTATTATTATTATTTAATCGATTAAATATCTAATTTTAACCTAATTTTAAAACAATATAGGATCAAGACAGAAGGTGTTAAAGGAGTTTTGGTTGCGGACGCACATGGTTTATGCATTGGAGGTAAAATTTTAAGATCGTCGTACTTTTATATTTATTAGTTTAATTAATAAAAATTAATAAAATTGTGAAGCTCGAGGAACAGCAAACCCAAACTGTGCTGGATTTGTTACAGCAATTGCTACACATGCGAAAGCCTTAAATGATGACTCAAATTCACAAGCTCCAACTACAAAGATTGAAGCTGATAATTCGTGGGTCTATTTGATCTCTTTATCATTTTGTTTTTTGTAATTTTTACTAAATTTATTTCTGGTTTATTCTTGGTTTGTCACTGGTAATAGTATAATATTGATATACAACGATGGAAATTATACTCTCGCTGTTTTTAAATGATTATTATGTATTAGTGTCGGTATTATTTTTTTAGATAATAAACGACCTTTTTATAATAAAAAATTGCCAGTATCTTTTAATTTTACCTCTAACAAAAAATTGCTATAATATTATCGCCATTGTTAAATTTAGTGATGTCAAATCTATGTAGAATGGGCTGGGTGTATTTATTTATAACTCGGATCTCCGATTAGATCTCCAACTAGATCGCTAGCTAAATTTCTTACTAAATCTCTAACATTTAAAATATATAAATACTTCGGATATAATTTTTGCGTGAATGGTTCGGGTTGATAAAATGCAAGATCTTATAAATTTTTATATCCATGAATACTAACGCTAGTAGCTTAGTAGTATTTTCGATGATTGATAAACAATGAATTTTGATTGTTTTCATCATATCTAGGTAAGTCAGTAGAAACACACAGAGTCTTGCTTTAAAAAATGATTTGATGTATTTTTACTGACTCATTGCTATATATTTTTTTACATTTAACTTGTTTAAATTGTTAAAAAACGATAATATTCGTCGTTATCTGACATTTTTTAAAAATATGTTAATATATACTAAGATATAAGCAGCTCTTTGTAAAAGAGAAATTTGTAATAAAGCCATATTTCACAAATTGAGCGAGTCAATAAACTTTTAATTGACAATTCATGAAAGAAGGTGAATTTGTATTAATAAAATCTATAACAAATCTATAACAAATCTATAACAAATCTATAACAAATCTATAACAAATCTATAACAAATCTATAACAAATCTATAATGATATATATAAAATAAAAATCAGCATTCCTGACTATTTCATTTTTTTTATTAAGCTAACATCTTGTGAGTTTCTAATGAATGAAAGTTGTAGAGCTAGTTTTTGTGATTCTAATGATAGTAAAACTGGTAAAATTGGTTAGATAGATAAAAATCACAAGCAATTTAAGATTAAATTTTGTTATAAAGATAAAAATCACAAGCAATTTAAGATTAAATCTTGTTATAAAGCTATAGAAATCAGTATTAATGTGTTTTAATATATTTTATTATAAACATTCCTGTTAATATTTTCTTTCTAACATGAATTGTCAATTAATAAAACTTTCACAAATAATAATCCAAATTTAATAAATTTAATAATTATTAAATTTTTATTAGAAAACACCTTATCTATTTAAATCAATAAAATTTTTGTTATATGACAAAATAATACAATTTCTGATTAATTATTATATCTTTAAAAATATCAGTTTTCGTTAAATATATATATATTAAAGTTAGCCACAAATTTCAAAAACTATAATAAATTCTTATGCCTCTTTAATTACTACCGTAAACTGCCGTATAAAAGACCCCCATGCATCAGACCCCCTATGTATTATGTATTATATCCGGATCTATAATATGGGATAAAGTTTTAGTTAAATGTAAAAGACCCGGGGTATACAAATATGATTAAGTACTAATAATCAGTAATTCAACTATCGCTATCATTAACCCTCCCCAATTATCAGACCCGTACCCATACAAGAGACCCATGGATCTAGTAATAGGTTTTAAAATTGGTGAAATGTACTAGACCCGGGTTTTTTATACGGCTGTTTACGGTAATTATGTATAAAGATATATAGTATATATATATATATATATATATATATATATGAGATAAATGTGGGCATTGTACACTTTTTACAAATAAAAGTCTGATAAAACTTGCTTAACTGCTTTACAAATCATGATATGAAAAGAAATCGTGCCTTATATAAATCATGAGATGTTACTTAGAAGGCTACGATTTTTAATTTCGCAAGGGTAAAATGATGAATGATTTTCAGCTTTTTACACTTAAAACAGAATTTTTTTTTTGGTAAGTAAATCGAACTTTATTCATTAACTAAACTTTATTCATTAACTAAACTTTATTCGTTAACCAAACTTTATTCATTAACTAAAGTTCGATTCCATCTTTTACTTGCTCTCAAATTTTGGCACATTATCGATAACTTTGTATTTATGAGCTTTTCGTTATACGTTTTGGCGCAAAAAATTAATTTTTGCACCAAAGCGTATAACGAAAAAAAAAAAATTAATACAATTAATAAAAAGTTATCCGTAATGCACAAAAATTTTAAGGTAAGTAAAAGATGACATTTCGAACAACTTTACTTAGTTGATTTGCTTAATAAAAAATTCTGCTTCCTTGTAATATGTTCAATTCGTCATTTTAACCCACATTCACCTTATATACTTTTTGTTATTTCGATTACACACGCGTTATTTAGAGTACGTATGCTTATGCGTGTTATTCCGTGATAAAAGATCAACAACTTCTAGACCTAATGATTACCATATTACAAATCCATATATGGTGGTCGGCTAAAGCGGAGCGAGTTTTAGGGTTATCTTTTGATGTGGTTATGGCTAGTGGGTTATACAGATATCAATAATGTAATTTATGCATTATGTAGATCATATACTGAATTAACTCCGCTTTAGCCGACCCCCATATATGTTATGTGAGGTGGTGCACATTATTTTTAAAAGATCAGATTTTCGTAAAAACAATTATATAACTTATGGCAAGCCTAGTCTCACTTGGAAAGTCCAAACTCCAATTTCCCTAATAAAACTCTATTTGCTTTTATAACGATAATATATTAGCCCTGAAATTAGATCAATTAGATCTTTATGTTTATTAGTGACATTACGTTTTCAAAAAGTATTTTAAAACATATAAATGCTACTGCAGTACTGGCAATTGATTCATGCCGACCAATCAGACAAACTTCTGTCTTTATAAATATTATTAAAAACACGAGTGAGGATTGCGTCAATTGTGTCAATTGCGTCAATTGCCTTGTTCTATTTTATAAATACAGCCAACTACCTATATAACGGAAATCTGGGCTGAAAAAAATATCTTCTTTATATGGCTTTTTTATTATTAATCCGTAATAACCATTATTAATTAAAAATTCGGTTCTTGGAATCCAGTCTAAGGGTGTCCGTTATATCTTTATATCGGTAGTCGACTGTATATGTCGCTATAGTTTAGACTTCAGTTTAGACTACAGTTTAGACTACAGTTTTTTTTT